TATTACATTTTTCTTCGACCTATAAATAAAAATGCATATTTCGCCATGTAAATAATTATGAACTTCTTTTACTTCTTACTACAGCTTAACTCTTGACGGCGTTTTCATTATAATAATTGGAGAAAACTGCTAAATTATCTTCGTCGGGTATTTTTAGATGCTCCTCCATTAATCAGGATGCATTCTTATCAATTAGCAACTGTAAAAAAGGAATATAGCAAATAGCTTATAGTCGTCACATATATCACTCTGTAAATGAATCCATTTATATAATTTCCGGTGTGTTATTTATTTTCGTTTTTAATAGTAACGAAACTAATGTAAACTCAGACTTCGGACTGTTAAAATCTTGAAATCATCGTGACGCCGTATTTGCAACAAATATGTAATTGAAATGTATTCGAGTGCAGTATAAAATTGCTTCATACAAGACATGCATGAAGGCTGCCAGTTTGGAACCACTAAATATAGCACTGCTAGTTTATTTTTCATCACTCAAACGACTCTTATAAAATAAGTTCAAAGGTCATACTCCTTTAATTTCAAGCCTCCGAAATAGAGAAAAAGTGTACCACAAAGTTTCAATGTAATTTTATTTCCTTTGATTTCTTTTCCTTTCTCCTTGCATTTTAATATTATTTCCTTTAAATTTAGTAGCGTCTTATATTCAACGTTTCATGCTTAAACTTATGCACATGTCAGGAATATGGTGTTTATATTGTAAGGATTATGTTAATTTTATTAACAGTTAAATTTTGAGTTAAACTTCTTTCCTGTCAAGTTTTTAACTTCAACTTACTACTTCCGGCTAGAACGTAGTTTGGCAATCACGTCTGAATACATAATAAGGAGGAGCAGTATTTAACCGCGAGTTTCTACTTGCTGAGTTACAGATAATCAGTTTCTGATTAGCGCGCGCCCGCCTTTTTGGCTACTCTCTCTCAAAGCTGTTATTACGCTCGGCCGTACTCAGGCCCTTGATAGCTTCGCAGTGATCTCGTGTTTTAAGGAGCCAACTCCTTTAAATCTTTGATAGCTTCGGCTATATCTCTTTAGTTTAGATTAGTTTTAGTTTACTTCTTAGCCTCTTACGTTCAAGCCCAAGTGTTGGCTTTTACTGTACACTCCAAGACGGAGTTCTGTTAAATCTTATCTGAATAATAAAGGGTTACTTACACTTCCATCTTGTTGTTTCTTGTCGCACTAACTCAAGCGATTATTCGCTTATCAGTTCTTAAGATTCTTCACATTCAGCAACAACTTAGCCTTTACAAAGTGGAGAACTCTACAATATATAAAATGTAACTCTATCCTCAATTTCATATCACTAAGATAAATTTTAGAGTATTACACCATATTTTAAGAAAGCACATATTGAGAAACAGCAAATTTTACATTATATCCCTACTTCTTATGGTGATTTCAAGTATCAAAAATGAGAAATAAAATCAATACAATTTAGAATTAGATCAATACATATTTGAAATCAAAGTGAATATAGTATGCTTAGTATACGCAAAACCTTAAAACTCTTAACAACAGACTAATCTCATAGCTAGTATTTTTGCAAGATCGTTTCTGTGAAGTAGCTGTGTAAGAAACTGACAACAACAAAAATTACTTATCATTTGCATAATCATGACCGATATGAAGAAGTGCTGATCCCGCACTCACCTTTTTGTGGTTATAAACATTGATACTAATAGGAATTAAGATTTTGTCATAAATTTTGAAGAGCTACCAGAGTCCAAATGACTAAGATAGCTATTTTTAAAGGGTTACCGCTAGTGAAAATCTCCATGTATAACATAAATAACATAAATATGAGACAGTTTCCTGTACAGTGTCGGCAGAGCGATTAAAGACAGCTGAATGTTCTTAGTTCTTCTCGGATTCGACACCAAACAAACGGACGGGCCGACTGCTCGGCTTTTTCCGATGTGTTACGTGAATGCGAGCGAGATTCCCTTAAGCTGTTGGTGTATTTAATTATGGCAAAGCACACGAGGGCTATCTGCCTAAGGGGAGGGATGCCTTCTTGGAGGACTTTCTAAGTGAAACTGGCTCGTATACACGTTACACATGGGGAAAACCACGAAAACACCCATGCAGCCAGCCCGTTCGCGGGATTCGAACCTCGGACCGAACTACCAGTGTTCGGCGACTTTACCGCTCGGCCGCTGGTGGGCTTTTAGATTCCCTTAAGAGTCCTCCACGAAAGCCTTCTCCGTTCGGCAGATAGCTCTTGTACGCTTTGCCATATTCAAATAATCTAACCTAACATTGTCTTTATAGAATCATTGTCTATGAAATCTGGTTCATGGATTGTATGTGACTGTAAATAAATTACCTTTTCTGTGAAAGGTGAGCATTAATATTTTTTGAGTTATTTACTTTCTAAATTTAGAAAGAATTGCTCTGCTACCGAATTACATGATAAGTAAAGAGTGTGAGCCTGTTTTTAAAAGCATACATTAAAACGTCTTTAATTTCCTCTTTTGATTTGTCGTTTTAGAATATAGCGTATATGATGTCATTCTACTGTTTAGGAAATAGACTAGAAAATTTCTATTTATTAATAGCTGTCAGAAAATGAATTTGTTGAAGAAAAAGTATTTTTTTTTTAATTCTACTTAGACAAAAGCAAAAACAGTTTAATGCGTAATCGAAAGTTTAGATAAACCAGCTCATTGATAATTCAGTCATTCTAAAGGGAAACGCACCGCCCACGATCGCTTTTCCCTCTCCCCAACTCTACTTTTGATTATGATGAAGAGACGTAAGTCCGTTACCGTCTGTTGGAACATTTTCGTTGAATAAAAGTACGAAGAGAAAATCGTAGCTGTTTCGTAAATTACCTAAGGATAAGGTTAGCTACGGAGATTGACTCGGACTCTTTTCTTACGTTATTTCTTAAAGTTGCGCTGTTTTTATGTAAAATGTTCGCCTGAATTTATTATTCAACAACTCGCATAGTAATTCTATGCTGTTTTAGAGCATTTTGTAACGTCTCAAAAATGATTCTTCTCACACAGATTTTTGCTATTCATTAGGACATATAAAAAGCACATCTTAAATATAAAGCATTCGAAGCCCGAGAAATTATTAAATCATAATTTACAATTCATAAAACTGCGTAGTAATTTACTTTATATATTATATATTTGTATATTTATATAATTTACTTTATATTCTTATACATAGATTTTTTTTTTTATATTGAGAAAAAATTTTAAATTAGTGTTTCCATGTAGAAAAAAAAAAAAAAAAACGAAGGAACGTATTTTCCTTTTTAAAGCCTTAAACACCATTATGCATAAAAAGCCAGTAATGCTAGTTTATTGCAGTTTATTTAGTTTCCGTATATGAAGCAATAAAATAGGAAATAAAATTCTACTTTAGTTCTCTAATGTATTCATATATTTCAAATTTTCCGAAATCCATTACAAATCTACTTCATCTGTATAAGCACTTTTGTTACACCCGTGATAGGAATTCAGTAAAATTTTGAATTATGAAACTGTTTTTATTTATGGAACTTAAAGGTAATCTAATTTACTCTAAAATGTAATTCTAAGGAAAACGTGCAAAATGTGTGAAGCTCCTTTTAGTGCGTAATTTTTATTTAGAAACATTCCGTATTCAAAAGCGTGTTTTAAACGCCCTTTATGGGTGTGATAAAATAAGAATAATTTTACATAAATAAAGTGAATGCATATTCGTATAGAATGAAAAGAAAATTCAATTTTATAAATTCGTTTTGAATTTACGAATAATTTAAATAATTCAGATTCGTTACTTGTTGTTATTCCGTTAAATTAATTCATTGAAATAATTTCCTTCGTACTCATAGTGATCCTGTGATAAATACGAAAGAACGTCTTTTCAAAAGCTGAAGGTACCAATTGAAGATGATTCTTTAGTAAGGTATTCTATTCCAAAACAATTAGAATTATCAAAATTCAAGAATTAATAAATATTTTTTTAATTGGAGCTTGTATACACGTTTAGGAAATCTACTATGATCATTTCTTAATTTCAGTTTGCCCCATAATTCATTTTAATTTCAAAATACGCTGTAGTTCAGTAACATCTGAGCCCAGTGATTTTTATAAAATTGAAAATCAGCAAGTATATAGTTTACTTTACATAGATATGTATTTTACACATACATGTAAATGAAAACAAAAGCGACGTGAATCCTTTTTTGAAGATTGCTTAATTTGCTGTCCTGGTCTCTTTCTGCATAAACAAATGAGGTGTTGCATATTTCGAAAAAATATTTTTCTTGCATATCAGAGAGTATGTAAGCATTAGAGAACATTTAAATGAAAAATAAGAGTAATATTCTTGCATAAAATTTGCTTACTATGTGTAAGAATGTCTGTGCATACTAAAGCGCATTTTTTCTGCACATTTAACATGCCTTTAACCTTTGACAAATTAAATACTCTGTAAGACGTTTCTTATCATAATATTTAAATATTTGTGATACTTAAAAGAAATAAATTAAGAAACATAAGAGACTTTCCTGAGAAACATAAGTAAAAATCCTAACAATGATTTCAAAAATAGTAATTGGAAAACAAGTGTTCATAAAAGCACTTTCTTTTTGTTCGAAAAAACATTTAGGTAGTTAAGAAGATTGCTACGTTAAGGTATAAAATATACGAAATAGGAGTTTTTATAACTTCTGAAGTTACACATTTTTTATATTTAAAATTTTACTAACGTAATCATGTAAAACTGCCGTTTCTTTTGAAACACCTAAACAGCACAAAGCGCCATGTGTGTTAATGTATAAAAGCTGATAATCTATGGGGATATTTTTGTAATCAAACAAAACGATATTTTTTCTATCTTATAGGTTTTATCGTTTCTATTAGTCTTCCCACTGATCCACTTATGCTATCTTTATTATGTATTATAAAGAGATAAATGGAATTTCGTATATTTTATAGATCTACTAAAGAGTATGAATAATAAATTTTATAACTTACCGAAAGGTAAGCACAGTCAGGGGGCGATAGGATTTATGACTAGTCGGATCAGTCATGGGTTTCCCCCAGAAATCATTGAAGAACATTTCTTTCACCGGATTTTTTCCTATAACGTCTGGGTTCGTGGTAATAGATACCATGTCATCGTGAACAAATTCTCCTTCTAAAGAGTTTGCGTAGCATGCTACACATGCTGCTATAACAAGCGCATACATTAAAACATCCACAGTGATTGTCACCAAAGAGCTACATCGAAAAGAGGACGACAGGGTGGACATTTGATACCACATAAACGACGAGCACCACGGGGTGCAGCGCCTATTTGATTTGGCTTTAGAAGAGTTTGGGGTCCGTCGAGTTTCCACTGAGACTCTTTTACGATGTCTTGGGTGATGAGGTTGATGGTAGAGGCAGGAAGTTGCAGATGCAGCCTGATAGGGAGAAGGGCTCATCCATATATCTCTTCCCATTTTCCTTTACTGCTCTAGTATTTCTCGAAAGTTAGATACCACTTATATATATTCCTTGAGAAGTATTTAGCTAGAAACGGAAATCAGTTTCTCAGAAATAAAAAATTCCTGCTTCCTTAATAAGCCGCATTTCATACATTTTACAGAATTAATATAGGATTTCTTTCTTTCTGAGCGTGAAATACAGGCTATAAAAATGTTTTTAGCTTCCGATAAACACACGTAATGCCGTTTTGAGTAGTATCTCAATTTTAAAGTTAATTCTTAGTTAAAGTAATTCACAAAAATATCAAGCAACTATAAAAATAAATTTGCTTGGAAATTTTCCTCAAATTTATTCGCGATAAAAAAGTAAGTAAAATGTGATGAATCCAAAGTAGAAAATACCGAAAATGAGCAGCTTTAATTTCAAGAAATTACTTCACAAACGAGTTCAGAGTGCGAAACTAATTTAACTGTTCTAAGGTAAAAAATATACATTTAGTTTTACTTGTTTACTTGAATAAATAATGAATTTTTTTCATAACTTCTCCATGACAGTTGATGCTCAGGTTCATGGTGAAATGTCTTCTTGCTAATCATTGGCAAAACATCTTCACCAGTTTGCCTTTTAACTGAAATAAACGTCTAACATTTAGCAAGTTCTGGATAGTTTGTATACAGGAGTTAAACAAGTTCCTTACAGTAATTTAATTATTGTTTATATTCGATATTTCTCACACTACACTGTAAACAATTTTGATAAAAATTTAAGATTCTAGTACACCGATTTGAAAGGAAGATAAATTTATATTAATTGATACTAATACACTTATACAATGAATATTATTTTGTCTAGCAAATGTGTAAAGAAGTAGCGAAGAGACAGAAATATGTGCTAGCGGCGCTATCAGACTACAAACAACACAGTGAAACAGGGGGTCTGCATTATTTACGAATCGAACTCTAGCCAATAACTTCACTCAACTGAATCCATTAGTGTTATGATTCTCAACCATCAAGCATCCGTGGGCGAATGCTTTTCATACTCATCCATGAGAGAATCCGAAAGAATTTTGTAACTTGGATATTTCCTCTTACGAAATACACGAAGCCGGGAAAAAACTTTTAAGAGGAGTTCAGAAAGGAACAGAACAACCTCGTGGATCACATGAAGCATTCATTCATTCAAGGAAGGCCAAGAAGCGTGCGCTCCCACTGCGTAGCTGCTGAGATTAACTGCGTTCCGGTGAGACAGCACGGGCCGCCACTGCACTCGCGGATATTGTGGTCGCTTTCTTACTAGAGCCGGTCGCCAAACGCACGTGTGAATATCGCCAAATACGCCACTGCTTAAAATGTTCGGCCATTCTTTTATAATAAAATGTGATAAAAATTGTATGTTAGTTTTAAAATTTTCGACTAATATTTCAATGAGAATCAGCGTCAGAATATGGTCCAAAATATATGAAAATATTCTTCAAGAATAGGTCTTTCGGATCATAAGATGTTCAACAGAGGGGAGAAGGAGCATAATGAAATGTAAAGTAACCCTGTATTTTCTTCTCCGCTGTCTTTAAAGTCATTGGTTTTTATTCAGAATTTAGAAGATTGTCATAAAATCCAAGTTCACTTGAAAAGAAGTCAGCGGATCAGCAATAATTAATAATTAAGTGGAGACGCTGATGAAGGTACTTCAAGTTCATCTAATTCATAAGAAACAAAATCAGTTATTCATGTATATATAATTACAAAAATTAAAGCGAAATATAATCTTGCCTAGAGTTTTCGCGCATTAAGCTGCAGAAAAGTTATCAGTAAAGACATAAAATAAGAAATTTAGAACTAATTTTTTATCAAGACCAAAAATTGAAATTCATGAGTAATAAACTTCAAATAATATTTAGAAATTTATTATTTACGAATTTAAATTTTTGGTCTCTGTAAAAAATTAGTTCTAAATTTCTTACTTTATGTCTTTACACACACACACACACACACACACATATCCACATAATATATATATTTATATATAATAATCTGTTGCAATAACGTACATATATATATATATGCAAATCCAACTTGTTGCAAATAAAGGAAAAGAAATTGAAATATAGCAATTTATTTGATTCAGTTCTGTAAATTTAATGTGAATCATTTTAATAATTACAATTGCTTTTTAATTTTAATACATATTATGTGTGAATATTAATATTAATTTTTAATATATATTATGTAATTATTGTGGTCATTAAATTTACAGTGGTTCTATGAATCAAATAAATTGTTGTATTTCAATTTCTTTTATTTTATTTGCAACAGATTGTCTTTAATATGTGCAAGAGTATTTTACATGATGACAACAGATAGAACTTGCATCATTTAAGATTTGCTCACATTATAACGCTTACAAAGGAATAAAAACGTTTTATGTTAAATGAAACTGGACTACAAGTTCAATGCCTGGTATGCTTATTTAATCATAACTTAGATATTTGGGAAGGCAATCAAGAGTAAAAGTTCTAATTACATTTTAGTGAGTGATATTTCGCTGTATATGTTATCTCCACTATTTAACAGCTTCATTTGCTTTCTTCTGAGCAAAGTAATGTTACAGCTATACTAACGAAGGTAATACAGGAAGAGAGACAGAAGTTTAGATGTAATTTTCATGACAGTATTGGGAATACTTATGCGTAATGGGAAAAATGATAACACTGTTGCATTTTGTCTCTTATTAATTTACTCAAGTAAATTTGGACTAAATTATTAATAGTCAGTGACACTCTGAATATTTAAGATTTCATGAAAATTGATAAGAGATTTGTTCAGTAAATATTTTTCTCCCAAATTAAATTTAAAGTATCGAAAATATGTAATTTAATTTTCCTTGACGTAATAGGAACAAAGAAGTAATGTTACAATGAGCGAATGCACTATAGGAGCTATTGAATGAAGAAAATAGAATAAGACCCCGGAATATCTGAATTAGCTGAGGCCGCCAACCAATGGGTTAGAACTTTGAACACAGGTAACAGGTACCAGATTAAAAAAATAATCATTTTCATTTCTTTATTAGTACTTCATCATTGTTTTACTTTCTTCTAGGAAACTCCTTCTCCCTTTGTTTCAGAGCACTATATGCATATAGATTGCGAAACTAAAAAATTTCGATAAGACTTATTGAATTCAATATTGTTCAGGTCTCATTGCTTGTTTTGCTTTTTTTCGTTGTTATTATATACTTCGAGTCTTTTCATCGTATACGTAATGTTCTTATTGTATTCCCTCGAAATGAAATCCGTAAGGTAAGACCAAACTGCTTGAAACGTATCATCTCCTGACGCTGCTGAGTAAAGTGATTCTCTCGTTGAAAGATGACTCTCCCACTTCCTCCTTCTCTCGATTCATATAAGATAACTTCACATTCACGTCATTTTCTCATATCCATAAACATTTACATTCTTTCTTCATATCGCCTTGGATCACTAGTAACATCTGATCGATCTCAGCAATTTTTTTCCGTGGTATTATAATTCAATTACAAACCGTTAATAACAATAAAACAAATGCTACATTGTTTAATGTTTGTAACTTGAATTATAATTCAAGGTCTTACATTAAAACTGTTTGAACTGAACATATCAACAGCGATTAAGAAATAAACTCGTTCTTTGACAAAATGATGTTGTTTTTGCAAAATGATTTTTTTTTACCAATGTCAATTTTGAGTTAAGTTTTAACTTAACTCTATTCGATTATTAATAGGAGAGAATTATTATATTTGGTAATGAAAAGGCTAGAAGGCTACTTGCTGTTTATGTTGAACACAGGCATCAGCCTAAATCTAGTAAAATAACATGAAAGCTCGATTACCCTCTAAGCGTTACGGCCGGAAAATTTCGTACAGAAGATTGCCTTCTATATTCATTACAAATGAAAATTTCTGCTAGCTTTTAATGTATTTGATTTCGGTTTATATGAATATTAGAAGAAAAAGAATCAAGATACAAAATGAGAGATTCATTTTTTTTTAATTAAAATCAAGAAAATACCACTTATTCATGACATTTTGAGAAACTTTGAAATTTCAGGGATAAACTCGTAACGCCAGGAGGGTTTTAAAGAACTGACTGTTAAGATTGCCATATGATGGCACTTCATCTTTCATACAGTTTATAAATATTTTGTTTAAATATTCTATTACAGCTTGTTCTTACTCAATACGTGCATCAGTTTTGGACCACTCAAAATTGACATTGATCTTTTTGACCAATGTCAATTTTGAGTTAAGTTTTACATTAACTTAAATCCATTCGACTTTTAATATGAGAGAATTATTATGTTTAGTTATGAAAAGGCTAGAAGGTTACTTGCTGTTAATGTTGAACACGGGCATCAAGCTAAATCTAGTAAGATAACATGAAAACTCGATTATAGAACTGACTATTAAAACTGTCATATAATGGCACTTCATATTTAATACAGTTTATAAGTATTTTGTTTAAATATCCTATTACAGTTTATTCTTGCTCAATATTTGCATGATTTTTGAGCCACTAATTATTTTTAGAGTTTCTTTAGTAATTTTAGACATACTATTACTTTGCTGCTAAGTATCAGTTTCCCTCCGTATATTAAGGCATACTAAGAATAGGATCAAATAAAGAACCAGATTTTACAGACAGTGTCTAAGTTTCTTTACTCAAGGTAGGAAATTAACTTTAATTTGGGATATAATTTTAAGGGGACTCATACACCTTAAACCCCTCATGATCTTCGAATATGTGACTGTTGCAAGAATTGGGATATTTTATTTATTTTAAAAGCAATTACTTCCAACTTTTTACAGCTGACTACATAATATAGCTGCTTTAGAAACTAGTAACCAGAAAGTTTGTGTTGCCACAAATATTTTTGTAATTTAATCCTCTTTGTGACAAAATATTTCGCTATGTTTCCACCTTGCGCGCATGATATTTTAAAAATGGCTAATGGTACATACTTGAAATTTGACGGAATTCTTTATATGGGCACTATTTTCGAACTGAACCAACAATCTGATAAATATTTTAATATTGAAAAATTTTATGGACGAAAACATTAAAAATTTTGTTAATAAAATACATTTCATAAACTCAATTCAAAATAAAATAAAAATTGAACATGCAATTTTTAGAATTTTAGGTTCACAGTAGTTTCCAAATGTTATAAAAGCTATATATTAAATATGGAATTAAATTATGAAACAGAATGTTTTAAACTGTGCGCGCAAGTTGGAAACATGACGAAAAATGTTGTCATAAAGCGGATTAAATTATAAAAATATTTGTGGTAACACAAACTTTCTGATTACTATTTCAGAAAGCAGCTATATTATGTAGTCAGCTGTAAAACGCTGGTAGTAATTGCTTTTAAAATAGATAAGTTATCCCAATTCTTGCAACAGTCACCTATTCTAACATCTTATGGGTTTTAAGGTGTATGAGTCCTCTTAAATGTACTCTAAATTCACATACTATGAATAGGTTTTGAAAACTAAAATATTTATTTTTTCAAATTAAACTTCCATGTTTTTCTTTAAATTTTTTTTAAATATATAACAAATGTACGAATATCTTTATCCTGACATGCTTCAAGCCTGACTTGCTCGCAACTTTTGTCCTGATTTGCTTACTACTTTGAATAGTTAATTCCTTTTTAGTTTTCAAGGTCTATTCATTCCTCGCAAATAAGTTATTAAATGAGCTTCTGGCTATCTTTAATAAAGAGGTTTGGCTACTTGAATTTTGAATTTTATAAACTTTTCTCCGCAGGCTTTGGCAATATGCATTATTTATACGAGCATAGACTAATCAAAGCTCTGTAAATGTGCTGCATTCTTTTATCAGAATTACTAATAATGCATTTTTTTAAGACTAGGAGTTATAAATAATTTTCTTTTCAACTCTGAATAATAGGTAGATATTTGTTTGACTTTAGAAACTAAAAAACGAATTATGTAACACTGAACCTAAATTTGTAATAAAAAATTTTATTTGCATCTAACGTAAATTACATTTTCTGTTATTTTTCACGTTTATTTCATTTATATTATCTGGTATAACTACCCACAATATATCAAATGAACTTAGTTTATTAATCAAAGCAATTTATATATTAATATTATTCTATTTTTATGTCCTCAATTAATATGATAAAGGGAGCATTTAATTACCTCGTTTAATCGCATCTTTATTACCGTCATAATTGAAAACTCTAAGAGCTTCATTT